TGTTTAATTGATTTTTCAAATTCGTACGCATCCGCGTATGTTGGGATTGTTTAAAGGAGTTTCAGATTGATACATTAAAATGGTTATTTCAATTTAAATTAGCAGCGTCCCTAACTAAATAGAATGTATCCATTAAAAAAATCGTTATGGCCTCTTCGCCTTGATTCAAAAATATCTAATTTATTATAGATTTTTTTATTCATATAATGTACTAGTATTGTTATAAATAATAAGTTATACCCTGTAATATTTATAGTTATAACGGCTTTCAATATTTATTGCGGAGGTATTTTATTTAGGGATTTTACATTTTATGCTTCATAAATTTTTAATTAAAGGATTTACGTTATAGATGGTTCCAAATGTAATGTACTTGGATTCTATGTAGGTAGTCGTCTTTTCGAATTTAATTATATACCGAGAATGTTTATAATTTATATTGATATTTATAGAGCATTAATAAAAAATCTTGATTCAAAAAACTTAAACCGATATTATTATTATTCGGGAATAATTAGGAAACAGTTGTGCCAAGTTTAACAATTACCGGTAAAATTGGTTTGGTTAGTGGAGAACGCGCAATGTAGAACGTCGGCATTATCTTAATACATACTTGCTCGGAATTGGTCCAACTTTGTCGATTTAGGTTTCATTGGAACATTTTCTAATACTAGCGTATCATGTAATACACCCGAATTGGTCGTTACGCAGAAATTTTAATCAACATTTACATACAGTTCGAACAAACTCCACAAAATACAATTAGGAAGTTACATACCTAATCAAAGCTAAAAGATTTAGAAGGGAGTTTCACAATATCACAAATATTTCTGCATTTACGGATTCGATTTACCCTGAAGAGTATAACATCTGAAATGTGCACACATCATCGCTCGAGTGGTGGGACTTTTATTGCCATGCGATGGGGATATGTATGGTGATATATATTCATATGCGAGAAGAGGAATATTTTAAATTCCGCGCAAACCACGAGGGAAGAATAGATTTAATCGAAGCGAATATTGAAGTGTAGGCGATAATGCATCACGTATATACACTCCTTTGATCCTGTAGGGCCCTTAGGACTATTTCGCACGTCGAGTTGCCCTTTCTAAACTCGACTCAATACACACGAGTGCAATTCTGAATTCTAACCCAAGAGAGAGTTTTAAAATCGGTTGCGTAGCTTTTGTTTCGTCTCGCAATTGCACTACTACAATCAATCAAACGAATCGAATAACTAGAAAAAAATGTTTATCCAAAAACTTTCTAGTTCTTGGACTAGTGTTAGTTTTAGTTCAATTAACACAGACCGTGAAAACCTTCGTACTTACACAATAAATTATTTTTTGAAACGGTTAATGACAAATATTAAATAATAAAGGTTTTTTTTTCCAAAGAATATTGCATCATAAATTGAAACCATGGACGTGTACGTGAGGAGCATCTTCAGGCCGGTAGTGTCATTAAAAAACGCAATTAACTCCGTACCGAACCAATCCTCGCTGGCATTTTTCTTCGCAATAAGTACGGGGGAATATAAATCTGCCGCATTAAGTCCTTCTATAAGATGGGGCCGGTTATTCGGCAATGGTAAGTCGTTTCGGTCTGGTTGGAGAGATCGGTTCCTCTTAAACCCTGACACGCCAGAGATCTTAGATAAGTGCGCGGTTACGTTATTATAATCTGCCGCTTTGGTGCACACCGAAAAGCTACCGAATAACAATCGGTGGCCGTTTCAGTCTGTTTTTTTACGCAACGTTTGTTCCCATCTTGATACCACCGCATTGAACATTTCGATGAAACTTTCACAGAGACTTCTCTGTGTTTGTTTTATTGGTGTTTTCGAAAATGTTTATAACAAAACCACTTTTCAATGGAATATTCTTCCAAAATACGATATTATACGACGTGTGAAAGGTTTGAAAACATTTATAGCTACACCTCATAGCTACAACTTTATTACATGCATTTAAACCATTACATCGTTGACAAGCAGGCGGCGATGTGACGCTGCCCTCGCCTTTTACGATGCGTTTTACCACGGTATTTATTGCGCTTTGCATTTTCTACACTTTTACAACTGGCCATTATTTCGTCGCGCACTATTCCTCCGAGATGTGATGCAACGACAATAAAACGGAGACAGAGAGCTGACGTCGACCCATCGCGGTAAAACTTGCCGAGAATATTCTTCGCACCCTCAACTTTTCTGAATAAGTGCATCGTTCTATCAACTTCAAAAGCTACTAGCGGGAGAATATTTTTTTCTTCAATCCCCAAAGTGTCCTAACGTATTTATATTTCTATTCGAGAATTGGTCTATAAAGTAATAATTCAAAACGATTTGTAGAAGTATTGTTATGTTACGTCACCCTTGTTATTTTTTTTTTTTGGCAATTTTACAAATGGAATTTTGAATCGTATGCCGAACATTACAATGAGAAATGAAACTCAGTTTTATTCCACAAATTTTATTTATTTATTTATAGACAGTTGGACAATCCGGACTTTAATGGAACCAGAGAAAAATATGAAATAAATATAACGTTTACAAAAAATATGTGTTACAATAAAATAACGCACAGCTAAAAAACCATCTAGTATATAAAATATTTATGTTTTTTTACTAGTATGGAAGTGTTATAAAAAGATTCATTAAATTGTAATAACATGTTTACAGCATAATCTTGCATTAATTCCCTGTTTATTTTATTGAGTGTCTTAATTATTGATATCTTCTTTATAGTCTTTTCCTTATAGACAGCATATTAAGATTTAGGATACAAGTAGAGTAAAAACACTTCTGTAAGGCGCTTAAATCCTAATCATTCTGGAAGTTATTGCGTTTTGTATCGATGTAGTATTCTAAAATGTGAGGTCTATAGCAAGGTTAAGTATATTAGAATGTTGGCAAGATAAAATCCCAAAGATCCTCAATGTTGTTCTCGAGAGAATCAAAAACATTCCCGAAGCGGTCTTGTTTTGGCGAGAATTAGACCCAATCATATAATCTTAGAGCGTGAGGTGAACTGAAGGATGATTTGAATGATATCAGACACAATTTTAAACATCCATGAACCTCACAAAACCTATCCTACTTTACATCGATGTGGTGTAGGTAGCAGAACCACGGCCGCAAGTGACCTTGGCCGAATCATACCATATTATGTATTGAAAAATAATCTGTATTTGAATGTTGTCAAAAGATATCCTACTTTATATCGATATGGTGTAGATAGTACAATCTCAGAGGTTCTCACAGTTTTAGAGCTTGAGGTTTACCTATACTATCTTGTAGCTCAAAGTCATTGTCTCAGTATCATTTGGATATAGTTGAACGTTACATTATAAATTGCTCTAATCTCTTGAAAAGATTACTTCTTGTCGTTGATAACCCCCAAATGGAATATATTTGTCGTTATTGGTCTGACGTGGGTTCGACGGTTTCATCCACACCGTGGTACACCGCGGTCGCATAAACAACGGCAGTCTCCGCTGTTACCACATCTAAATCAACTAGGAGAGTGCACTAAATCTAGGCGAACAGAGTTCGAGAAACAAATGCCGGAATGAAGTAAAGGGCAATTCCAAAGACGCAATTGAGTGTTTCTCTATTACATCCTATCTGAGCTCCGGACATTAACGTAAATAAAGACTGGGGGACGTAGATTGAACCAGATCGATAATATAATTGTTTTAATTTCTCTTTATTTTATTTCTCTCTAGCTCACCTTTTATGTAGATTGATATGAAGAAATAGAATTATTCTTTTTTTAAATAAGTCACTCTATAATTTCTTTGGGGCACAAATCAAAGCACACTGTAATCATCGTCTTCAAAATGTATTTATTCAATAAACCCTTTTATAAAGCTGAAATAATTTCAACGTTTCTGTCTTGATTGAAAGACGGTAACGTAATAATTTATAAAACGACATTAAGCGGAAATCTAGAAGGAGAGGTTCTATTTTATTATGCATTAAAGCGATTTTCAATAGAAAAAGACCGATCGCGGTGGCGCGGCCAGTGTAGTTAAAGGGGCGTGCGAACATAATGAAATATTCGTTTGACGGAAAGCGGTACCCCTTGAAAGGGGTTCGTTCTGGTGGCGCAATGGACCGTTTCAACTGGCTCCTTTTCCGCTAAATAGTCGAGCGGTAGCGGTGCACTTTTAAAACTTAGAATCCGACATCGTTATTACATTAAACGGGGTTACGCTTCGGCGCAACCCCGTTACGTCGCGAAGATGAAGTATCAAAGTATTAAAACGCGCTACTGCCAAACTGGGTTACGATCAACTTTCTTACCACGTTGACTATGAACGAGATAGTTGGATTGACTTTTAAGAAACTTTTTCGCGCTACGAAAAACAGTTCCTTTGCAGTTTTTCTTAAAAGGTTTCTCATGAAAATTGCTTAATAGGATACTTGGATTAAAAGGCAAAATCAGAAATGCGCGACGTTTATAGTATACTGCGAGGAGTCGAACACAAACATTAATTCAATCTGGAGTTGACTCCGTTTCGGGGATAATATTTTCCTCGTTCCTGTGAGTTGGTCAAAAGCTGCGTCCTCGTTTTCCCTCGGTATGCCTAAAAAATGAAAATTTCCATTTAGGAAACACACAAAAGCCTACAGAAAAAAAATCCTGACGTAAATAGTGTTTAAATTTAAACTCTGTTATGTAGAGGAGAATGAAAGGATCGCGTTGTTTACCCTTTGTTTCCGAGAGCGAAAAGGTCACATATATAAGTGAAATAAATTCTTGATAAATTGCTTTATATTTTAATATCTGAAAAATCATGAAACACATGTTCTTTCCTTGACTATGCCTCTAAGCCGTAGGGTTAGAGAGGGTTGGAGAAGTTTCCGTTGGAGGGGTTACTTCATGAAAACGGTAGCGGCGCCGCCAGTAGTGGGGGTGGCTGGGCTTTAGAGCCAGGGACTTCGCAGAATCAGAGCAGTCAGACCTCCGAGTCCGGCGTTTCAACAATTCCGTTCTCGTTTCTCGTTGATGATAGTAAATAGGTCGCGGTGACCATCACTTCGACGTAGGACTCACTCGACGGTCACGAGTGTTCACTTTACCCATTATCAACATCGGTTACTGTCAACGAATCCTTTAGGAAATGCGCCCTTGCTTCGAACACCGCAACGTCGTCGAACACCCAGAATCGAAACCGCACTAAACTTGATTGGTTTTTTCCTTTCGATTCCATTAAAGATTTTCCACAGTTTCTAATATTGTAATCCCGCAGTGACTTGAAGTAAATGTTTTAATTAGAGTGTCGTCACGTCCCTCCAGACCCTTCAAGTTTGGAATTAAGGTGACTTCTTCTAGAGTGTATGTGGAGTACGTGGTAAGTGTGTTCCACTGTGATGAGTACCTATTATTAAAGCACAATGAACGAATAATTTGATATTTTTTAGTTGCTCGCAATATTTTTTTGTATTAAATTTGTTAGAGATCATTAGAGAGGAGTAATCATTTCCCTTGAGCCAAATCTACTTTCCACATTATCTAAATGGGCGAACGTTCAATTGGCCATATTTGGCGATTGCTCGTTTTGTAGCATACCTTCGGGCGCCGGCGGCAGAAAATCGCATTTCGGTTCAACGGCCTCGCAGCTACCGAGCTACGCCAAGCCTCTTCTTCTTTCGAACTGTTACAGCACACAGTCACGATTACGTGTGTGCGTAAGACTCCCATGCATCATGCGATGTGACTGACCGTACGGCCTGATCCAGCACTATACAAGCAGAAAGGACGGGTTTTCTTCATTCTGCCCACTCCCCAAGAGGTGAGTTCCTCGGACTCTCTTCTTCGGACCGAATTTTTCGTACGACGGCCAATGTTATAAAACGACATAGTTCTTGGTTGTTGACAACGTTACGGCGCCATTGTGATGGTCTTGTAACGGCGCACGGAAGGCCTCAGGATGTAAAACGGGATGCGCTTTTGGAAACTCGGTTTGCTGACCCGGCTATGTGAGAGCAATAACATTAACAGCCTCGCACGGTGTTATTTCATAACGCCTTGACATCTTGGCATTTCAGATATATGGAATTAAATACGGAACCATGTAATTGCAACATATTATGTAGTAGCTGTCGTTCATTCAAATTCCACGTGAATAACTGTAAAATTGCAAATTAAACTTTGTAAAAATTTCAGAAAAAAAAACTTTTCAAGAAAAAATTAATTCTTATGATCATATTTGCTACTACAGATAGTAAGTAATGGAACTTACTTAATCAGAAGAAAATTAAGTTTTCTAGCTCGACAGAAATTGATGTGCTGAAGAAGCTTGGATGTTGATGATGATTACGACATAGACCAAATTAAATTGATCAAATATTTTAATTAACTCCAAATTTGCAAAAATAAAAACATTTTTTTCATCACATTTGCTGTCAGAAACGAGGAGAAACTGGTTGCTGCTCAAACCAAATTAATTAGAACTTCTATTCAACTCGTAACTTGTAACAATTCAAGAAAAATTAATTTTTCATAGAAATAGATTATGGAAAAAAAATTCTTTTTATCATACTTGCTACTAGAGATGGTAATCAATGTGATGTCAAGCAAACTAACTTAATCAGAAGTATTGCTCAACCTGACTTGGCAAAAAATCAGAAAATGATTTCATTTTGCAATAATTCATGTTTTTTTTGTGAAAACAGATAATGGCATAAATTTTGTTTACAATTGCTATTAGAAATGGGGAAAAAGTGGTGGAACTAACTCTGCTCAACTCAAAATTTGCAAAAATACAAGAAGAAAACAAGTTTTTCATGGAAATAGAATATGTCAAAAGTTACCTATTTACTATATTTGCTGTTTGAGATAATGAGAAATATGATGTCGATCTGTAAGAGTTAGAAAAATTACACTTTTTCAGATTATTTTGGCTTAAGCATAAATAGGTTTGTTAATTTCAAAAAGTTGGATATTAGTAATAGGAAAAAATGTTCATAAAAATCTGTATAATACTTGACAAAATTCGGCTCAACCGAAAGTTTTTTCTTTCAATGTTCAGAGTGCGCCTCTCTGAAATTTAAAAATGAACTGTGGAAACAGGGTCGCCGTAAAAACAATATCCCCAGTTTTGTGCTAAAACAACACGATAACTAGATTTCGCGAGACGAAAATAAAACGAAAAAGTCTCAAATTCGTTCAATTTCCGACCTCTGCGTATAGAGTGTCGTATTAGTCTCTCCTTCAGACTTTGTCAGTCGCGCTCGCTGTTTCGCCCTTCTGGGCTAAAGGATGGAAATTGAAAATATATATTCCACTTCTTTGTTTCTGAGAATATATACTTTGATAATATTATCTGCAAAATCTGTGGTACTTTTTATATTTACTTTTTCGTTTAAAAAAACTCCTTTAAAGTGTCTTAAAGGATTTAATCGATAGTCGTAGCAGGGACACGAGACGGAATTCGAGTTAGAGCTTAGTCCAAGCTTACTTGATACGTTAGGGAGACTTACAAAAAGTGTTTTGGGATGCCTTTTAAATTGTTGATTCTGTCAACATTATTTTTCAAGCAATAGCTTTTTTTATAAGTACGGAGGTTTTCGTTGGCGGTGTTTCAATTAACAGCTAATTTATTTAACAACAATCTTGTACTGAATAACAGCTAAAACTAGAACTAACACTAGTCCTTGAACTAGAATCATTCGGGATTAGCCGTCTTAAGAGACTTACGGCTAAACCCGAATGTTTCTAGTTCTAGGTCTAGTGTTAGTTGTAATGCTAGTATTAGCAACAGTGGTGGTGTAAAACTAGAACTAACACTAGACCTATAACTAGAAACATTCGGGTTTAGCCGTGCTTCTTCAGACACTTTCTAGTTCCAGGTCTAGTGTTAGTTCTACTTTTAGTTCAATATTTTTTCTATTAACTGTTGTGACATTTTATAATGAACCTATAAATAACGCATAAACGTGATGTTTTACTTCAAAATAAAATTAATTGTATAATAAACGCAGTATTTCCAATTATATATGTAATTGAATTTAAATTAAAAACATTCGTTTAACTGCGTCACTTATAATTAACAACACAGAAAAATATTCCCGCTGCGATAACGAACTCAGCTCTTCACAAGTTTTAAGATTTAATTGGTAAATACGGATTGGATCGTAAAAGGATCAGCACTAATTAGAACTGTAATCCTAGCAGTAAGGCTGAAACATGCCTCAGGGCCCGACTCACTTCGCATTTTTCGTTTATTTATTTTGACAACTCCTAAAGAACAATATCGCTTCCGAAGCGGATAATTGAATCAAACTTGAGCTCGAATCGCCGAGGATTCTTTTCAAACATCAACTGCGCTAATTGTTTTACCAAGAAAATCCTTCAGCGTATAGGCTCTTTGGCGAAAAGGATTATTTCGTCTTACATTCTACATTTTCCTGCCTGTGATACTTTTTCCTTCGGGAACGACATAACAAAAATCTCGCACTCTGCCTACTTCTATTGTGTGAACGTCAATATCGTGCCATCTTTCTCGTCTGTCTAGGTAAGTTGAGAAAGATTGTACTCCGATGGCGATATTTGTATTTGCATTTCATACGACTCGCTTTTAGAGCAAATCCTCTATTGAGAATATCAAGAAGCTTGGATTCTCTCTTTGTTTTATCTGCTGCTCGTCGTTATAAACTGTAATTTGATTCTCTTAGATATAGTTGAAAATAAATTCGATTCAGTGCGCAGAAAGGAAATGTTCTAAAATGTATAAAGAGTGAGGATGCCTCAAATTTATGAGATTTTATCGTTTTAGTTTCCATACTTGTCAAAAAAGACTTCTTTCATTGATTCACCCAATATTTACATTAACCGTTCGTACTGAAATATGATACTCTTGGGGAAATATAAAGAGAATAATTGAAAATACTTCTGAATTCAAGGCTATATTTTAAATATTTAACTTATACATTTTACGTTCAAAATTTACATAGCTCACCCGCTACAGTAACTAGAATGGAACTAAGTTGTTAGAAGGAAATTCGTAATTTTAGGTATTTTCGTTGTTAGCGAACTGAACAGGAGGTCATCAGTTATCACTTTGAAGGAGATTTAGAAGCACGTTATTAGCGTTCAAGAGCTCTCGAGCAGCGTGAATTATGTATCAACGGTTGTTACTTGGCCGGTGCTCTCGGGACGGATTGTTTAACAAGTACTTACCTCATTAGATGAATAAAATACGTAGGACTTTGTTTGTATTACCTCAAAATTATATGTTTAAATCTTATTTGAGAAATATCTGAATTGTAGATGGTCAATGTACCGTTTTTCGACTCCCGCACTGACCGCGCATGGTTTTAAAGTACAGTTAGTCAAGATAAAATCGTGATACATCATTCACACATAACCCAGATATTTAAAATGATGAACGGCCACTGAAACACTCTCAAGTCATGCCATCTGCTACGTGTAACGTTTTTATTGCTGCTATTACGGATGTGTGGCGGACAATAGCAGCATTTGTCCAACCGTTCTAGGATCTATAACGATAACATCTCAAATTGTAGATTATTTTAGAGTTTATTTCATGAAGAATTTTTATGAAGACAAGATTAACTCATTGATTGATTGCTAAAAATATTTTTTTATTTCACTTTTGGTTATAGCCATAAAAAAAGTATATTCCATCAACTGCGTTAACTAAATAACATCTAATACATTGATTAAAGTGGTTGGAAGTTGGGGTTGCGAACAACGAGTTTACGAGTTGGAGTTGAGTGTTAGTGAAAGCTAACAAAGAACTTGTTACGATCCATAATCTATTATATTTTAAATTATAGTTCCGTAGTCATTTAACCTTGTTTTTGTTAATATCGATCCCTTTAATGTTTTTACCAGTTGACGTAGTCATCATATTAATGTCTCGGGTTTATCACGTGAATATTTAGGTTATTTAACAAGTTAAGCCGAGGTCGCTTAAGGGCGAGGTTCAGTGATTAATATTGTATCAACCTGTTATCATATTGTAGCACCTCAGCTTCGGCTTTACCAGATAAAATAACGTTAGGTAAACATTGTGTCTAAATTATTTTAATGTTTGGAAAAATATGACTGCATTTTTGTGTTTTATTATTAAGTTAATAACTACACACATGTATTATTATTGTACACTTTCTTTAACGACTTTCGATGCTCGCGGTTCACTTTCAACTGCTTACAAATAAACGGTTATTACCGGTCGTTATAGCATCGCTTTTAGCGGCAATTTCTCTGTAGTTGGCTTAATTGACTCTTAACCTGGTACGTCGAGGAAGTAGTCACAACTTCTCACGAACGCCTGCACCATTTGCGCCCGGTATTTAATTATCGTAATATGATCTAAATTTTTCG